AATACAGGAAAAGTAAAATTGATAAAACCAAGAACTGGCTCTTTGCAAATACAGATAAACATAGACAAACTTCTAACAACTCTGAATAATAAAAAGAAAAGACACTAACATATAACATTACAAATGAGAGAGAGGTTTCTATCTACCAGTAGAGAGATTTTAAAATTAAACTAAGTATGCCAATGCATTTGAAAATCTAGACGGAAGGGATAACTTTGAAGGAAAGTATAAATTACCAAAACTTACAAGGAGGTATGTGTTAGCCCAGATAGGCCTCATGATGCTGTGCTAGTCACCCCCAATCCCTGCGGCTGCATGTCTGCTGCAGGTCAGCGTGACTCTGCTCCATGTGCACTGTATCCTGTAATCCAGGCTGACAGCGAAGCCTCTAGCTAGGAGGACACTGACAGTCATATCATAAAGCCTATATCATAGGAGGGGAATATAATCCTGTTCTAGGGAAGGGCAATGAAATATGTGAACAACAAAACAGTCTATATTATGGTTTAAAACAATCTAATTATAACAATGAACTAGATGAAAAGATTGTTGAAGATCTATACCCTCTTCCACAAAAAAGGAGAAAGAAAGGAAAGAAATGCTGGACTCAAGCTTTTATCAGTGATTAATATTTTGCATATTTAATCCATGATTTTCCAAATTTTTTTAACTATAGATATCCCCCCACCCCCATCATTCTTCTTAAGGCTTGTGAAATGCCTTTTTTGTCACTGTCCATCAGCATAGTAAGATGCTGTAGAATCACTACTTGTCTTCTCTGTGTTGCACAGCCCTCCCCATGTCCCCCACACACATTATACATGCTAATCATAATACCCCCTTTCTTCTTCCCCACCCTTGTCCCTCCCTTCCCCCCCATCCTCCCCAGTCCCTTTCCCTTTGGTAACTGTTAGTCCATTCTTGGGTTCTGTGATTCTGCTGCTGTTTTGTTCCTTCAGTTTTTCTTTGTTCTCATACTCCACATATGAGTGAAATCATTTGATACTTGTCTTTCTCCGCCTGGCTTATTTCACTGAGCATCATACCCTCTAGCTCCATCCATGTTGTTGCAAATGGTAGGATTTATTTTTTTCTTATGGCTGAATAATGTTCCATTGTGTATATGTACCACATCTTCTTTATCCATTCATCTACTGATGGACACTTAGGTTGCTTCCATTTCTTGGCTATTGTAAATAGTGCTGCTATAAACATAGGGGTGCATCTGTCTTTTTCAAACTGGGCTGCTGCATTCTTAGGGTAAATTCCTAGAAGTGGAATTCCTGGGTCAAATGGTATTTCTATGTTGAGCTTTTTGAGGAACCTCCATATTGCTTTCCATAGTGGTTGAACTAATTTACATTCCCACCAGCAGTGTAGGAGGGTTCCCCTTTCTCCACAACCTCGCCAACATTTGGTTTTGTTTGTCTTTTGGATGGTAGCAATCCTTACTGGTCTGAGGTGATATCTCATTGTGGTTTTAATTTGCATTTCTCTGATGACTAGTGATGTGGAGCATCTTTTCATGTGCCTGTTGGCCAGCTGAATTTCTTCTTTGGAAAACTGTCTGTTCAGGTCCTCTGCCCATTTTTTAATTGGATTATTTGCTTTTTGTTTGTTGAAGTGCATGAGCTCTTTATATATTTTGGATTTCAACCCTTTATTGGATCTGTCATTTATGAATATATTCTCCCATACTGTAGGGTACCTTTTTGTTTTATTGATGGTGTCCTTTTATGTACAGAAGCTTTTCAGTGGATTACCTTTTTTTAGAAATACTGTTATGAACTAATCTCAAACATAAATATAGATGCAAGGATCCTAATAAAATATTAGTAAGTTAAATCAACCAGTGTTTTAAGAATTACACAGTGAACACGTAGAGTTTATTCTAAGAATGTAAAGAAATATGGTTAAACATAAACAGATTTACTAATACAATTAATTACACTAATAGGTAAGGGAAGAAATTTACATGTTAAAGGCTTCTGTATTACCAAACAGCATAAGTAAAATTAAAAGTCAGAAAAACATGAAAAAATATTGTACCATAATACGTGATGGATAAAGAATTGATTTCCATATATAAATAGACCTTATTAATTAATAAGAAAAAAACACGTTTTTATTAGGATTATTTTCAGCTGCAAGCAACAAAAAACCAATAACCAAAGATATGCAAATTTAAAAACATATATTCTTCACCTTTCAGATTTGCAAAGAGCTAAAGATTGACAATAATGGCATTATAATACACAGTTCATGGGCATTCAGCAAGACATTTCTAGAGATTCATCTGATTAATTATATCAAAAATTTAAATGTGTATATTCTTCGATTCATAAATTCTGCTTTTGCAACTTTGACTTGACATAATTTGTCAAATACACAAGGATATATATGCATTGCAAAATGGCTTAATAACAGCAAAACTGTACATAACCTAATGCCCGTTAATGAGAATTGATGAACTAACTAATTGTATGTCCATACAGTAGAATACTATTGTATCAGATAGGAGACTTTAAGTTACATGTGGAAACAAATAGCATAAACTAAAAGGGGGTTTATCATCTCATGTAATAAGGAGTCTAAATGTAGAGTGGCTGCAGCTTTCTTCCAGGTCTGTCATCTTCACCATGTCAACTACTCTTCTTCTGATCACATTCAAGAAATATGACTGTAGAGAGCAAAAATTATGTAATAACAAAAATAGCTTCTGCCCTCATGTACTTACAGAAAATATGTTCTATGTGAAAAAGGTAATGGCACAAAAAGATTAATTTAGGTGCAAACATCTAATTTAACATATGTGTAAGCTGAGAGTCAGGAAGATTGAATTACATATATATTAACTTATAGAGTCAGAATTTGAACCCATGTTCATCTTACTCCAAAATCCATACTCATCTATTATGTTAAGTAACCTTTTGAAAGTAAAATAAAAATATCTGGAAGGAAATGGATCAAACTGTGAGTAATCATTTTCTTTAGGAACTGATAGCTTGAATGTAGCTGCCCACAAGGGCCAGGAGAAAGAGCAACGGTAACAAAATCAAGGGGTACACTGATAGACTGGCAATGGGCAATGGTTGACTGCCTGAAGGTCCTACAGAAATTTAAAACAGGGTTCTTGGGACAGAGTGAACAACCTGAAATAGTAATTGGAGAGGAATTTCAGACGCTGAAAAATTACCAAAAAAAATTTGGTAATGCTTCAGGATGGGGCAATGTGTATATTTTACTGGACTGAAGTAGCATTGAAGGTTACTGGATTGAAGCAGGACAAGAAAACATCACTCGTTCAAATATTTATTGATTGTTCAAGCGTATATCTATGCTACAGGTTGCAGAAATACCAGTGAACAGGATGAATTATATTCTTATATATTTTTGTTCTTATTTTTCTGGACACACTTCTACATTGTGATGCTTTCTGAGCGTGTGTCCACTCCTTTCTGAGAAACTGTACTCTAAGCTTCTCTTCCCTTTTTTGGCTGTTCCCCAGGGGACTCTATGTTGAGCTGTCAGGACCTACTTCTGGAGCCACATCTTCTCTAGGATCAGGAAGCTGCTTGCAGATTCTGTAAGCTGTTGGTTCCAGAACCTGATGGACGTGGGGGGGAATCCATGCAGCTATCTTAGGAAAGCGATTTCCAGACCGAGTGAGGAGCAAGTACAAAGGCCCTCAGCTGTGAATGTGCTTGGTGTGTTTGAACAACACGAAAGAAATCCGTGTAGCTGGAGTAGAATCATCAAGGGTTCAGCAGTAAAAAATGAGGTTACCTAGGAGATGGGACAGGAATGGAATTCATTTCTAAGGGTTCTCCTGCTTATCATTTGAAGGACTTTGGTTTTTAGGCTGAGTAAATGGATAACCACTGGAGAATTGTGAGTAGGTGATTGCTTATAACCAATCTCTTATCAGGCTCCCTCTGGCTGCTGTGTGGAGCATAGACTGTGGGTGGTGGGGTGGAAGGGGCAAAAGTGGAAGCAGGACCAGGGTGTTAGCAGTGGAAATGGTGAAAAGCTGTCAGATTTTGGTTATAACTTTAAGGGTGAGCCAGCAGAACTTCCACATGGACTAAATGTGGCTGAGAGAGGATGCAAGGGTGACTCCAAGTTTTTTGGCAAGAATGCATGGAAGGATAAACTTGCCATTTACTGAAGAGGGGAAGGCTGTGGGAGGAACAAATTTGGGGATGAAGGTTAGGAGCTTGGTTTGGGACATGTTAAGGTTCTGAGGCCTACCAGACATTTGAATGGAGATGTCAGGCAGGCAGCTGGTTTAAAAGGTCTAGAGTGCATGGGAAAGAGACAAGCTGGAGATAGAAATTCAAGGTTCATTGGCTTATAGATGAGACTGAATTAATATAATTTAAGAAAACATGGTCAAGCCTTGGGGAATGTTTTAAGGAGAATGGAGTTATAAACATCATTGGTTTTTTCCTCCCTCCCTCCCTTCCTCATTACTATAAAAGTGATAAAGATGTGAACTCAGCTGACCAATGTCCAGACTCAGAATCAAACATCTTCCCCTTTTTTACCCTCCCTTAAATATGTGCTATAAACCCTAGGCAATGTTCTAAACTTTTTTGTTCCAATTTGGGACCCCCACCCCAAGTGATCCTGACACAAAAAGCACGCTGTAGTAGGACATGAAAAAGCTGAGGCAATTTAGCCTGGGGACCCTTTTCCCAAAGGAAGACAAAAGTTGTAATTAGCTACCTGGCAGAATTAAGGTCCCTGACTACAAACGCAATGATTCAGCTTCAGGCTTGTGAGAGCCAACTTTTCCAACAGTGGCCCGAGATTCCCAAGCAGTAGTGAGGTCTTGGTGACTCTCAATGTGATGATTATATAATTTACAAAAATCATACTCTATTTCTGGCTCTAAGATACTAATAAATAGCAGTGCTAATTAATATCCTTGGTAGTGGTTGCTGTACTGTAGTGACAGACTCTGGAAATAGCTACAACACACACTTAGAATCTCACAGTTACATAATCAGCCATTTTACTAAATACAAGCAAATCTCATTCACATACAGCTAAAGAAAACATTTTTTCACATTTCATTACAGTGCACAACAAAGTGAGGCAAAGTATACAGTACATTTTATTCTGGAATAAAGACAATCTAATCCAACATGCAGTTGTGGTCTTTGTTACAAGTTAGTTTATCTTTTCTTTACCTATGTAGTAAAATAGCTTCTAAAGCTTTATCCTTAATATTGTATTAACACCTGATTTTTTCACACTTATTTTCTAAAACCCACTTATTGCAGTGACAGCACTGAATTCTATTAAAATGTTTTTTAAAGTTTCTGGAACTTGTTAAAGCAATTAAGATCAACCACCTCTGCTGGATCCATGCTGACTATTCTTCAACCTGCCTATAAAAATGCAAGGAATGGGAAAGGTATACATATAATGTATTTCAGTCAAGAAAACTGTAATTTTGTTTTTAGCCTTTCTTTGAACTGACAGAATCCAGTCAACTTTCATTTATCCACTGGATAATCTTGCTTTCAGAATCTTCTAAATATAATTAAGTATAGTAGTTGATGAAACTTGTCTTAACCCAATTTACCATTTTTTGCTTACCTTGTACAACCGCAAAGCTGGCAGCTTAATTCCCCGCCCCCACCCCCAAGCCAACTTGTAGCTGATGATGCAGGTTGGTCCAAAGTGGCTTGTTGCCACAGTTTCATTATTTGGCTTCTTTATTCTGGCTGAAGTAAATTCCAAGACTTTCAGATTCAGTCACATTCACAATAATGTTCAATAGCAATTTACCATTCTCAGGTTTTCCTCTCACCATGGATGTGAGAAACCTGACTCTAATCAGAATTATTTTCTTACTGTGAAAAGTATGGCTTTAGCCTAGCTCCACTGGCTACAATCCAAAACAATAATTTAAAGTATCACCTCTTTTCAAGAAGATAATGGAACCTCAAGCCAACCATTCCAATTTTCTGATGCAGTTAGCTGTCTATTCACCTGAGAATTACGAACTGACTCTAGGGTAGACAGGAACCCAGTGTAGGTGTGCGTCAAACAGGAGGCTAAGGTCCTTGTGAGGTGAGTACATTATCCCCATGCCACTCCCCCACTGCTGTATTTGGTTCCTTTCAATAATAGTTCTGTCTTTTCAGTTGTGCAATTATTTGCTTGTTTAAAGCCCTCTTGTCAATAATACCTGAATGGGCTTTACCTTTGATTCATCCCCAGGTTCCCTCAGGATTACAGCTGAGTTGTAATCAATAAGGAAACATATCCTAACATGTACAGAGTATTTACAGTCAAGTAAACAAAAGAACAGTTCACTCATCTGATGATGTAGTGAAACAAGAACCAGCAGTCAGACCTTCACCTTGGCCAAGTGTCTCCTGCCCCTTAGTTTATTCTTTCATAAAATGGAGAAGAAAATATCACAGGCCTGTTATGATGATCAAATGAGTGATTCAAAAGACTGTAACATGCTTGTAAGGGTCACAGCACCTCCTGTTGAGCAGGTACTCAGGGCTCCTTTCAGAGGCAATCCCTGTGGCACCTCTCAGCAGCCATTTCCACCAGGTACTTGAAGAGACAGGCAGTGTAGTTCTAGATTGCAGCTGCTGATGCGATGAAACCCCAGGAGTAGGCAGAGGGGAGGGAGGGTATGGCGTTTAGTTTGCTGTGTTCCTGTCATCTGCTTACAAGATAATTTGCATGGGACAATTTTGTTCACATAGCTGTTTATTCTGTCACAGGGTGTACATTTTCGCGAATGTGATAATAATGGTGTGTAGATGGCCTCCCTTTTCATAGTCACACCATTTTCATTAGAACATCAGGCCTTGAAAGGGTTTTAGGAAACAGCTGGTCCATGCTCCTCATTTTACAGATGAGCTGCCTAGAAGCTAACTGGCACCTTTCAACCAAACCCAGCACACACATTGGGTACAGGATATAATCACTGATTATGCTGATCTCATAGTCTTTTTCAGTTTTGTTAACTGTTCCCAAAGTGAAGCTTTTTCCCCTACATATTTCTTTATGTTCATGACCTATGTGTGAGCTGAAATACCAAGAAACAGCTGTTTTGTCTGTGAGTGTATTTTTCTGGGGTCTAGCTCCCCAAACCTCAGCCCCTTTGACATGTGGTCCACCAAGGGCACACAGAGTAGTCACTTCCCAGCATGAGCCACGAAACATGCCAGTAATTCAGTCCCTCAGGGGTGCCCCATCCACCTGCTCATGGCCTGTCAGAGTACCTCTAGGGAATGAGGCTCACTTGGCATCTAAAATTAAAGTTGAGTTCTCTTCAGTCACACAAGGATTCTTTTCATTTTGATGACTTTAAATTCCGGCGGGAGAGCATGTTTTGAAAAAAGGGCTGACTAGCACAAACACCTCCTCTCTGACTTGACAACCTCTTCTGAAGAGTGAACCACATTTGGTACAAATCCACTCTTCACCCCTTCCCAGCCCTCCTGGATTGTAATATCCCCCCTTTTAACCAGCTCATATATGTCTCTTGTCAGGTCTGTGAAGGCTTTTTCCACATTAATGGCATCTCGGGCTGATGTTTCAATGTACTTCATGCCGTATGCAGCAGCCAGTTTCTCTGCCTCGTGGCGAGTCACTTGCCTCTGTGTATCCAGGTCACACTTGTGACCCACCAGAACAAATACAATTTGGTAGGGCTGAACATGTACTTTGGTCTCTTCTAACCACTCATGGACATTCTGGAAGGACCTGCGGTTGGTAATGTCAAATAAGAGAAGACCACCTACTGAGTTCCTGTAGTAGGCGCGAGTGATGGATCTAAAACACAAGAAAGAAGTAAAGAGTAAAGGCCACGCTCAAACCTCGGACTTCAGTGAACTCAGTGTATTCTGTCTCTGGTAACTGACACAGTCCTTTAGTAAAAATGATTTTTGTAAACAAAAGAATACAAATGTCATTTCATAATAATAGCAATATATGAATTTTCAAGTGGGCAAAACTTTGAGATGGCATCTTGTACAAATGAATGCGCATGGATTTACAGGACTTTTCCCTTGAATGACTGAGTGAGCTTTCCTCTTCTGCAAAATGTGTCACAGGTTATCATGAGGCAAAATGAAATAAGGTATGTGAGCCTTGAGCTCATTACAAATTCCAGTAGATGAAACAGGATTTTTAAAATATATATATATATATAATATATATATATATTAATCTACAGGGGTGCAGAGCTTATTAGAGGGTGTAGAACTATTTGCTTCTATAATCATTTGCTTTGGACTACTGTACTTTTTTACCGATGTATATTTTTAGGTTTTCTGTCTCCTTGGATGAAGAAGATAAACAACAGCTTACAGCTTAGGGCAAAAGGTCCAACACTAACAGAACAAACATTGTCCTGGGAATTGAAGTCCAAGCTAGATGATGGTAATCACAAACCTTCTAAATGAGTTCATGTCTCTAGAACCAGGAAAATTATCCCTGGGGAGTGAAAATATTTCTAATTCTCTTGTGTTTGAAGATCCATGGAGAATGGTAGGTGGACCAGAAAATTCATCATGAACGAAGGTTTTGATTTGTGAGCACCTTGGTTTAAGAAATCAGTAAGCAAGCTGTAGATCCCTGACAAAACTGTAAAATACATTATTGCATTAATGGAGAAACAAAGCCCTTCTAAGCACAACATAGGGCTACATAAAAATTAAAACCTTGCAGACATCAAAAATTTTTTTAAAGTTAAAAGACAAATGACAAACTGGGAAGATATTTTACAGCATCCATGACAGAAAAGGTTTAATAGTCTTAATCTATGAGGAACTCTTAGAAATCAATGTCACCCAATAAAGAATAAGCAACTATGAAAAGTCTAACACACAGACAGAAATGCCAACAAACATATAAAAGACACCTTTGTTCACTTATGAGAAATGCAATCACAAGTTCAAAGGGAACCTGTGCAAGGATATTTGCCACAGTGTTTATGGGAGAGGAAGTTTCTTGTCATCTCTTCTCCCTACCCCTCTTCAAGTACCTAAGCAGTATCTTTAATGCTCAACAGATAAATGAATAAATGACCGTAACCCATGGGCTACCGAGTCTAGTCTATAGTCTGTCTAGTTCCTGCCGCTGTACATGACTTTAGCACAAATTGCTCTGTCAAAGTTTTCTGTGTATAGTGCTCTCTCTCACTTTTGTCCTTATACATGATGTTTCTTCTACCTGGGCTTTTCCTTCTTTGTTTTGGTAGTGATAATCATCTGCCTCATCTTCTCCAGGTACTGTTCCCTGCTCTGTGTTCATATGCATAATTACAAGTGGTACACACTACAAAGACAAAGAAAGGGTTGTAAGAGAAAATTAAATGTGTTCATGGCTTATGTGCTAAATGTCATAGTTGGGAGTGGGTATACAAATATGAACAAGACACTGTTTTGTGTAATTGCTGATTATGTAGTTCTCCCACTATGCTAGCACAGAGGTTTGAAGGGTGAAGGGCCTGTGTCTGTGTTGTTTACATGGCATCCCCCTGTGTGAGTTTCCTCAGGCTGTTTCTGCAGAAACAAGCCCAGCGTGCTGCATGTAGTGGGTGATCAGTGAATGTTTGCTGGTTGCAAGAAGCAGTCAATCCTCAGTGAGTATTTTGTATATATGACATCATATATGTGTATCTTTCAATTAGGATGACATGGGAACATTTTTTAAAGTATATGGTGTAGGGACTGAGATTGATGCATTACAGTCATTAGTTCCAGCTAGTTATCTAGCCACCAAGGGGCAGGGTTGGTGGAGTTGTGGTGCAAGCAAGAAGTATCATTGACCAGCCTTCTGTGCCAGGGTGCTTTTTTCCCTGAACTGAGCTCCCAGCTAGCTTAAGGAAGGCTTGAGCAGAACCCTCCAGACCGCTGGTATTGTCCCCACGGGCCACGACCAGGACCAGGAAGTCCTCTTTCCCCAGGGGCTGTGTGCAAAGCCCTGAAGACCCTCCCACAGCTCGCGGGCCCGGGCTGTGCTCCCACCTGAACCTTTCTTGACCCGCGGTATCCCAGATCTGGAGCTTGATGCGTTTTCCAGGCTCGATCTCCACCAGACGGGAGAAAAAATCCACCCCTACGGTGGGGTCCGAAACCTGGGCAAAGCGGCCCTCAGTGAAGCGGCGGATCAGACAGGACTTGCCCACCGTGGAATCCCCGATGACAATGAGGCGGAACTGGTACAGCCAGATGGCCTCCATGGCCGGGGCTCAGCAGGTCTCCTTGGCCCGGGCCGTGGGCGGCGGGAAGGGGCTTAAGAGAGCGCGTCTCGGTCGGGATCTAGATCAGCCGCAAGCACATCGCTGGCCGGGGAGCCCGAGGCGAGGTAGGCCCAGGCTCAGGGAGAGCAGAAGGATGGATGCTGCGCTCCCGGAGGTGATGAAACGGCAGCAGCAGCAGCACCACGCACTCTGACTCATCACAGACCACCGGGTTACTGTAATTCCCCGCATAGACGCGACGCTTAGGGCTGCCGCACTATTTGTAATAGGAGCGCATAAAGAAACGGCTGCGGAAACAACGCGTTCCCGTCCTGATTCCTTCCATTCATTCCTTCTGATTAATGAAAAAATGTGTCTGTTTTTCAGATTGCAAAACTAATGCCTTTTGATTAAAACTAGCGAAGCAATATAAAAATGTACACAAAAAGGAAGCTCCATAATTATCTGGCCCTCCCCACCCTGATATTAACAGCTTCCAATATATTCTTCCACGTCTATTTCCGTATATATACACATTGACTGCTGCTTGACTTTACAAAAATTGGGTCAAGTTGGACCATTACTCTCACGCTTTCTGCAATTAATAAAGAATCACATATAATCTTCCCATTTCGAATTCATTTTCCTTTTGCCATAATAACGATGCGATAAAGATTCTCTTAAATACAGCCACACATAATTTCTATGACATGAGACGCTGACAAGAGGGACCAGGAAGTGAAATAATATAAGTATATTAAATGTAATGGAGAATCTGTGGCACCTTACTACACTGATGGACAGTGACTGCAATGGGGTATGGGGGGGACTCAATAATATGGGTGAATGTAGTAACCACATTGTTTTTTCATGTGAAACCTTCATAAGAGTATATCAATGATACCTTAATATAAACAAATTAATTAATGTGATGGATGTGGGCATTTTGCAAAAATATTTGACGATTTAAATTCTACTCAGCAATGTGTGAAAAGACTGTTTCTTTGCATTATGTCTGGCATCATATGTTCTATTCTTTCTTAATTCTTCCCAATCTGATTTATTGAACTGTAAAGGGATCTCATTGCTTTATTGTACATTTCCCAGACTGCCAATTACATCAACAACATGTCTTGTACATTGACCATTTGCATTTCCTCTTCTAGGAATTGCCTCTTCAAACCCTTTGTGTTTTTTATATATAATCCTTTACCATTGCCTTACTCAATTAAAAAAAAACCTCTTTTATTTGTATATAATTCACATACCACACAATTCACTCATTTAAAATATACTATCCAATGATTTTTAGCATAGTCACAGAGTTCTGCAACCATCACCAAACTCAATTTTAAGCTATTTTCATCACCTCAAAAACAAACCTCTACCCTCTATCCCTCTTCCCAACTAGCCCCAAGCAACCACTGATGTACTTCCTGTCTCTAAAGATTTCCTTATTCTAGACATTTCATGTAAATAGAATCATACAGTATGTGACCTTTCATAACTGGCTTCTTTCAGTTACCACAGTGTTTTAGAGGTTCATGCACATTGTACCATGGATCAGGACTTCATTCCTTTTTACAGTTGAAGAATATTCCATTGTGCAGACAGACCATATTTTGTTTATCCATTGGGGGACATTTGGGTTGTTTCCACCTTTCGGCTATTATGAATAGTGCTGCCATGAACATTCGTGTACAAGTTTGTGTTTGAACACATGCCTTGAATTCTTTGGGGCTTAAACCTAGGAGTGGAATTCCTGGGTTTCCCGGTAACTCTATGTTGAGTCCTTTGAGGCAATGGCAGACTTTTTCCACAGTGGCTTCACCATTTTACATTCCTACCAGCAATGTATGAGAGTTCCGATATCTCCATATCTTCTTCAACACTTGTTACTTTCTTACTTTTTGATTCTAGACATCCTTAGTGGATGTGAAGAGCTATTTCATTGTGGTTGTGATTTGCACTTCCCTGATGACTAATGACAATGTGCAGATTTTCACATTGTTATTGGCCATTTGTATATCTTCCATGGAGAAATGTAGACTCAGATCCTTTACCCATTTTTAAACTACATTGTCTTTTTATTATTGAGTTGTAAGACTTCTTCATATGTTCTAGGTGCTATTCCTTATCAGATATATTATTTGTAGATATTTTCTCCTATATTCCTTTTGCATTTTCTTGAGGGTGTCCTTTAAAGCACAAAGTTTTAAATTTTGATTAAGTAGAATTATCTATTTTTTCTTTTGTTTGTGCTTTTGGTGTCATGTCTAAGAATGCTTTGCCAAATCCAAGGTCATGAAGATTTACTCCTATGTTTTCTTCTAAGAGTTTTTTTGTACTTTTACCTCATACATGTAGGTCTATGCTCTATTTTGGGTTTTTATATATGCTGTGAGACAGGGATCTTTTGCATGAGGATATCCCAGACACCCTTTGTTGGAGGGGTTATTCTTTTCCCACTGAATGATTTTGGCACTCTTGTTGAAAATCAATTGACCATAGACTATGTTTATTTCTGGACTCTCAATTTTATTCCACTGGTCTATATATCTATCCTTATGCCAGTACCACATTGTCTTGATGTAGCTATTTGGTAAGCTTTGAAATCAGAAATGTGAGTCTTTCTACTGCGTTTTTCTTCTCCAGGATTGTTTTGGCTCTTTTGGTCCCCTTTTAAATCCATATGAATTTTAAGGCCAGCTTGTCGATTTCTGCAAATAAGGAAGCTGGATTATTGATGACTGGGATTTCATTGAATCCATAGATCAGTTTGGGGAGTATTGCCATGTTAACAAAATTAAGTCTTCCAATCCTTGAACATATGATATTTTCCCATATATTTAGGTCTTTCAAACTTTCAACATTTTCTAGTTGTCAATTTTTGTAAGTCTTAACATTTTTTTGGATAAGTTATTCATAAGTATTTTATTATTTTTGATGCTATTGTGAATGGAATTGTTTTCTTAAGTTCATTTTCAGATTGTTCCTTGCATGTGTGTAAAATACAATAGATTTTTTATATTAATTTTATATTTTTCGACTTTGCTCAACTCATAAATTAGTTCTAATAGTTTTTTTAGTATAGTTCTTATGATTTGATCAAATGCTTATCGTGTATCCACTGAGATGATCATGTGATTTTAAAAATTGTATTGATATGATGTATTAGATTATTTGATTTTTGGATATTGAGTTAACCTTGCATTCCTGGTACAAAGCCTACTTGATAGTGGTGCATACTTTTTTAAAATATGTTTTTGGATTCAGTTTGCTACTATTTTGTTGAGGATTTCTGAATTCATATTCATATTTATTGGTCTATAGTTTTCTTTTATTCCAATATCCTTAAAGTGGCTTTAGTATCAGGGTAATATTGGCTTCATAAAATTTATTAGGAAGTGTTCTTTCTTCTTCTGCTTTTTGGAAGAGTTTGTGAAGAATTAGTATTAATTCTTCCTTAAATGTTTTCTAGAATTTATTTGTGAAGCCATCTGTGCCTGGATTTTTCTTTGGGTAGAGTTTTGATTAGGATTCAATCTCTTGGCTTGTTGTAAGTCTATTTAGATTGTCTGTTTCTTCTTCAGTCAGTTTCAGTACTTCAGTATCTTGGTAGGAATCTCTCCACCTCATCTAAGTCATCCAATTTCAGTCTTCTTTGTTTTTTTCTTGGTCAATCTACTGGAAAGGTTTGTCAATTTTATTGATCTTTTCAAAGAACAAACTTTTGGTTTCATTGATTCTATTTTTTATTTATGCTCCATTTCATTTATCTCTCCTCTAATTTTTATTATTTCTGTACTTCTGCTTGATTTGGTTTTCTCATCTTTTCAAGTTTCTTAGAGTATAAGATTATGTTATTGATCTTGGATCTTTTCTTTTTTCTTAATATAGGCATTTACAGCTATAAATTTCTCTGTGAGCACTGCTTTATCTGCACCCCATAAGTTTTGGTATCTTGCATGTTCATTTTCATTTATCTCAAAGTATTTTCTGATTTCCGTTTTTGATTTCTTCTTTGACGCATTTACTAGCTTATTAGGTGTGTTTTCTTTAATTTCTTTATATTTGTGAGTTTCCCACATTTTTTTCCTGCTACTGATTTCTAATTTTATTCCGTGGGAGGTCAGAGAACATACTCTGTATTGTTTGTATCCTTTTGAATTTTTTGAGGTTTGTTTTATGGCATAGCATATGGTCTATTCTGGAGAATGCTCCATGTGCCCTTGAAAAAAAAGTATATTCTGATTTTGGGTGAAGTGTTCTATATATGTGTGTTAGGTCTAGTTGGTCTGTAGCATTGTCCAAGTCTTCTATTTTCAGTTAAGGAAATAAAGGAGAAAAGTATACAGTTACACAGTCTTATAATTACGTGACTGCATTTACTGGTGCTCTATGGTGTGTGTGTGTGTGTGTGTGTGTGTGTGTGTGTGTCTCACTTGCATTCAGATTGAAGAATTTTCACTAATTATTGTAAGGTGGCTCTGCTAGGAACAAATTCACTCACTTCTTGTTTATCTTGGAATATACTGCTTTCCTTTTTTGAAAGTTAGCTTTGCTGGATACAGGATTGTTTATTTTGAGAAGTCTGCTGCTAATCTTATTGATATTCCCTTTCAAGTGATGAATCATTTTTTTCTTGCCACACTGAATATTTTCTCTTTGTGTTTGACTTTCAGCATTTTTATTGTGATATATGTGTTTGTGAATCTCTGCTTTTGTCCTACATGCAGTTCATTGAGTTTCCTGTGTAGTTATTGTTTTACAATAAATTTTAAGGAGTTTTCTGACGTTATTTCTTTGGATATTTTTTCGACTCTTTTCTCTCTCATGGCGCCTGTATTGGTGCACTTCTCTTAGGCTCTGTTCACTTTTCCACTTTCTTTTTCTTTCTGATTTTCAGCTTGCATAATCTCTATTGAACTATCTTCAAATTTGCTAATTTGTTATTTTTCCAGTTGAAATCTACTATTGAGTCCCTCTAGTGAATTATTTATTTCAGTTGCTGTACTTTTGAACCCCAGGATTTCCCTTTGCTTCTTTTTTAAAAAATAATTTATCTTTATTTATATTCTGTATTTGATCTGCCACTGTCTTCATATATACTTTTACTTCTTTAACCATGTTTTCCTTGAGTTCTATGAACGTATTTGTAATGACTACTTTGAAGTCTTTTTCTGTTAAATCTGACATCTGCTTGATATCACAGGTAGTTTGTATTGCCTACTTTTTTCCACAGTGAAACTAGACATAACAACTCTGGGTATTGGTCCCCTCCCCACCCCGGGGCTGCTGCTCCT